TTTATCGCTAACATCGGCCGATACCGATACCATGCCGATAATATTGTGCATCACTAGTTTTAAAGTGGTTTTTGATACAGTTAATTTACTCAAAATTGTAATTTTTGGCAGTTGAAATTAAAAATTTTGCTAATTGTGTCTTGAATGAAAGTATAAATATTGTATTAACATCTTCAAAGAACAGGTCTTAAGTATTTATGCTACACAAATATTTCCACTGCATTAAAGAGACAAATTGAAGAAGATTATTTAATGAACATGAGAGTTATGAGGGGGGTTCCTGGAACTTTTTCTCCCCTGTAAGGGGTCCCTGAACCCAAACAGTTTGAGAACCCCTGTTCTAAGCCATGACTGCTTTCACTAAATTTTAGTTACACACTCCAAAAATATCTTGGAGCTTAAAGAGGGACGAATGAGTCAAACTGCAGCTCTGTTCTTAATCTTCTAAAATACTAGCCCTTAAAATATAAGAAGAACATCAAACATCAAAAGTAGATCCCTTCAGAGCTGTTGAAAACTGCTGGAACCCAAAAAATAATAAAAACATTCCTGCACTATTGTTGAGGGAAAACACATAAGGGCTTAAAAAAAGAGCTTTCTTCTGATCTTTCAGCTTAATAACTTATCTTCTTTCCCGCTCTCTGTGATGTGAGAGAACAGTCACTTTTTATTCTGCTGCTATTTTCAGCCTTCACCAAAGAGAGTTGGTGCAGCTGGTTATCTTCGGAAAGGATCAACCTCTACTTCTTAACCAGCTGTTTGTTAATCAGCTTTAACTTCATTTCCATCCCGTCTAGTTCTTCGTCACAGAGATCACTTACACTTTTCACACATTTATACGACAAACAAAATCAATGGTATCAGCCAAGCAAGTGGAGAAAAATATACATGACATAGCCTTTATGAACGTGATGAGAATTGTGTGAAATTTTGGCTCAAGTCAGGTAATAATGAACGAGGTTTTTCAAAATAAGAGCGTAGCATTCCTTAAAGAAAACCAGATCACTCGCCATCTTTCATGCCAGAGTTTCAAAGATGTTGTTTATGCTGAGAAAGAGTTTCGGTCAATTTGGTCAAAACCTCGTGTGTTATTGCAAGATACAGTATCACTCTCAGGGAAATGTGAATGACTCTCAGCTACTACCATATCATTTGTTTTGCTTAATATTTGTAAAACTGACTATTATAGGTGTGTTGGTGTTTTCTAAAATGAGTAGGCTGTGGTTGCCATCTTCAACATATAAAGTTAACGACTTATATATCCAGCGAGTTTTACCTGAAAGTTTCATCAGACTCTGTCCAATAAGCTCCATCTGTTTGTTTTATTTCTGTCGTCACACAAAGAGATGCACATTTTCATGTTTCTCAGCCACCAGCAGCCCTGCAGCTGACTCAATGTGATGTAATCAAATGTGCTGCACTGTGACTTTAGCCTCAGGGGCCGGGAGAGAAAAGCATGTGCGGCGCATCTTCGCTGAGTTGCACATGCAAGTGGGTCGGAGCATCTGCAGACCTCAGGGATTAGACGCTCTCACTGAAAGGATTCCAGCACCCAGTGTGCTTTAAATTTTATAGATTTGCCAGCAAACAAAACTTGACTGTCTTCTTTCTCCACAGTTTAATCCACTATACATAACTGAACACCTGTTTTTATTCCCCCACCCCCTTTCACGGTGAGTTTATTGAACATCCCTGAGCTGTCAGTCAGTTAAAGGTCCTCGTCGTGCTATACGGCAACCCATCCATGAGATTATTTACCTCTTGTCTCAGACAGATTTAAACACCCTCTCAGGGTGCACACAATGAAGAGGTGTGTTCCTCTGAGTGCTGACTCTGGTGCAGCCTTGGTTCCAAACGCTACATTTATAATTTTACTACCTGGCAGAAACATTCCCTGAATAAAAAAGTTTTGCTTTCTTGGCTAGTGGGGAGGAATAATTGGAATATGCATTGACCAAAAATAAGAAAAGTACCCAGAATTCCATTTGTCCGCTAGTTGTTTACTTTAGTTACAGTCGTGGCATCATTTTGAACTTTAGCTCCAAAAAAGCTCCTTGGTTTTCCAAGAAGTGCAAAAGGCTTTTTTTTTAACAGTCTAATTGATGTTTTCAAGTTCTAATATTTAAAAAAATTCCCCAATTTTATTTGTCAGCAAGTTTATTTTTCAACAAATAAATGGTGTCAATATAAAATCTGTGGTATAACAAACTTTTTTTTTTTAAAACAATTCAAGGTTTATTACTAGTTATTGGTACAAATGAACAAGTTATTCAGAGCACTGGATAGCCCAGTGCATGCTGGACATCCTTCAGGGAACATGCTGAAAGTTTTGTGGAAAGTCTCTAAAAAATATATAAACTTTTCAAAACTTTTCACATTGTGCAGAGGAAATTCAAAACAATAAAGCTCTTCGTGTCAATTTCATGAAGACCAGTCTAAATAAAAACTCATGCAGTAATAAAATCTGCCTTCTTTTCTCATATAAATGGTTCATGTGTGCTTAAATTAAAAGTTTGTGAGCAAAATTTGCAAACAGCTGATCCCAAAGAGCTGTTTGGGATGAGTAAGTCATCACGTTCATGTATTAGAAGTATTCAGGCTGCAGGTAAAGGTGCTTCGTTTACATTGACCGCATACCCACATTTCAGAATTGCATATCAGAATACCTTGAGACCGACTCAAGTAAACTCTTTCATCTGTGACATCTAATATGTTTATTGCTGCTGCACTATGTGGCTGTATCATGTATGTCACTACCATCATAATTCAACAATGTTACTCACTACCTGTCACACAACCTGTGTAGTTTATGTTAGTTATGTGCATCATGTGCGTTTGAGCTTATATTACTAACTGTGAAATATTGATACAAATTCATCCTACTACCATCATTATATTCTACCATGTTGTTGTTGACTGTATTTCTCTTGGACCTTGTAAATATTATATTTCTTTTTGCACTTTTTGGTACTTTATTTCGTACCCTTACCGCATGCTTTAGTATATCTTGTTTGCTTATATTTTTGTTTTTAGCAAGTCGAACCAGTTCTCATCCTGAACATTTTATATACTGTTGACCTTGTGTGAACCTGCATATGACAAATCAAGAACATAACATAACTGCACCATTTGATGCAGTCCAGGGTTTTCATGTTTGATTTCATGGTTTGCAATGAGAACATTGATAATCCCAAAGTTTTGAGTTTTCACAGTATTTTCTATGTTGGTGTCTTTCCACAGTTAAAGCTTTTTCAGTTATCGTGTGTTTAAATGTTAGCATTGTTGCATTTATAGTATCTAATATAAACGAGGCAGGTTGAACTAAACATAATTGAGTGTAACAGAGAAAAGGAGAAGTCTCACCGTCTCTCCTGCTGCTGCCCCTCATAACTTTGGCCGTGGCGACCTGAGCCCTGCCGACTCTGCTCATGGCGGTCAGCAGTAAAACCATCCACATCTGGAAAACCACTGGTCCTCTCATGGTGCTTTTCACCCTCCGCTGCAACCAAACCAAGCAAGAAAGCTTCGACAGCTTCCAAAAGAGCAGCGGCTGAAGTAGCTAACTTGTTGCGCCCTGTTCACTGAGGTGCGTGCGTCCCGGGTGCCAAACTTAAGAGCTCTCCTTCCTGACGAAGTTTTCAAACCGAGGACGAACTTCGAGGCGACTCGGAGCAGGTGGAGGATAATATGCTGCCTTCACGGTCACACGCGAGCTGCGGGGCGCCAGGCGTCTTATCACCGCCGAAACAAAAAATGTTGCTCAGTCACAAACAAATAGTTTCCATCCGAGGCACGAGCTCAGTGTGGAAGTCAGCGCGAGACAAACTTTGCCATGGAACCGGCGCGCGCTCACGACGCGCGTGCGCGTACAACAGGGTGTGTAACAAGGAGAGATGTAAGGAAGTCAGTTCATT